GGTCATAGCTTTCGAGGAGACTGAAGACAGGAATATCTGTAATGGTGAAGTCCAGGAGTAATTTAACCAACTGAGACCTACAACTGACCGAAGCTTGTCAGTTGGAGGTCTCAGTTATGAACTGTAAGTTAACAGTCAAAATTCACAGTTGGTCATGAAGAATCTCCTTTGTAACAGCTGCTTCCTACCAGTGACTAGCTATCCTGTAAAATCTTTGGTGCTTTCTTGGTGATATGGATGTAAGGAATAATGCCCTTTGCTCCACAATGAAGAGTTTCCACTGCAAACAAGAAACTGAAACTATAAGAAACATAACTCATAGAATCAAGTAAATACATAGGTATAAAATTACTGACAGCTGTTATGAAACAGAAAAGCAAAATAAGGACGGGGAGAACTGTCATTATGAAATTTCAAAATTATTTTCAACTGCTGTGAAAGTTTTGAAATGTATGTTCATAGTACAGCGCTGACAGTTGTGACTACAGCGACTAGCAACATGAATTAATCCAAATCTACTAATAGTCACAACGTTTATCCAAGTGAGGCAGGCCAGGCATCTCAATCATATTCCCCCTTGGAGGTCTCTTCAAGGCTAGTAACACACGGATTCTCTATGTTCTCCAAACATGCCTGCTTCCCAGATCTCCTTTGTCAGTCTCTTTGCATGCCATATGTAACTTTCCCACATTGTTGAAGTGACCTTAAAGTCAGGTTTGTACCACTGTGCCCACACTCTTCAATAATATTAGAAAATATTAGCAAAAGAAGTAATTTCATGTAGTCAACACACAAAAACAAAGTACACAAACCTCTTCAAATATTTTTTCTCACGCCTTTGTTCCAAATCCATTTTTACCAGTGTTTCTGCTGTAATATATCTCAGTCTGGGACCAAAATTGTTCAGTGGAGCCGATACAGCAATTTTATAGCGGTATGTGTCAAACTCTGTCAGTGTTCATTAATTTTAAACCTGGAAAAGAATTTCATGTAATATATGTTGAGGATTGGTTAACCTTAAGTTCAATGAAATAACAAAATGAAATTACACACACTTCAGACATGTACTTACATAGCTAGGAACTTATGTTTAGAGAGAATTCCTTCAGTAGGGCTTGAACTGTAGATTCACTACTTTTCGAACTATTATGTTCCACTATTGCTGTTTGCGGTAAAACTGGAAGATTATTTTTAACTTTCAAAAGTCTCTTCTTGGAACAAATAATGAACACATCAGATCACCTTCACAAATTCGTAATTTCTTGCAGGATATCTCTCAGATATCATCAGTTTCTCCACACATCACAAAGAAATGTGAACCATGGTCAGCAAAAAGTATTCAAATCCCGAACATTTTCGACAGTTTTCTAAAATTCCCTTATTCGAAATAAAACAATTTTTGAAATTTATTAACACATGAGCATTATTAAATTCTCCCAAAGTTAACATCCCCCCCCCCTTAAATAACTAGGACACATCACTGGGACCCCTCCACAACTTTCCTTCCTACGTCTCCTATACATCACGTAGGTTGGGTTAGTGCCATTCATGTTCAGAAATGTTCCCTACTGGACACATTTACACACTGTTTCACACGGTGCTCACATTTCTTTACACATGAACAAGAGTCCTGCGTGCTGCATGCATTGCCACTTTCTTCCTTTCGGTTGATTATCTAATACAGCTGCACCATTACCACACGTAACTATAATACGTCACTACAGACATTGTACTATCTAACGCAATAACGTTGTGTGGGGAAATAGCGAATTCCCTGCAAATCACAGATATATTCCGTATTCAGATTTAACTATTATATACACGTTGCTATTGCACGGAATAAAACGCACACTGCATTGATTAAAGTAGGCAATTCAGCGAAAGTAATGTACTATGGTCACATTTAACTGTAATGCCAACATATTTCAGTATACAAACTGCAAATATACGCAAAATTAAATAGAAGTATTCAAATGATTCCGGTCTAGATAACCGAAATTAATGACCACGGGGATTCGTTGCGCTGGTCACAAGACACCGTCTATCCGCTAAAGTTGGCACTAACTTTGCCGGCAAACGGCGGTCGCTCGGTCGATATAGTTCGCTTGTGGACTAAAGCCACGGAGTTTGTTATTCAAATTATTTGAAAATTGTCTACGTTATGAACACAGGCCCGTCATGACGGGCCATATGTACCTGCCTCTGCATTCGGAAATTCCCAGCTTGTGCTAACAAATAATATACCCTACATATAAGTATTGGCTACAATTATAACTACTGATTAACATATCGAAATTCGGCATGAAAGATGTGACACCCAAGGCCATCATTTTTAATTCATTACAATACCTCATACAAACACGATGGACGTGCAAACTTCCGAGGTGGCAGACACAGCTGTCGCCACGAACTTCCAGCAGTACAGCGCTGCGCATCTGACGCTGAGCCTGTCTTCCCACTGGAAGAACATTCGATGAAACTGAGCAGTGTTAGGTTAAATTTGCGCGACAAACCACTGCGCATCTCGCTCCTAATTATGACAGCATTTTGTGGGAATGAGTAACGTTAGGATAGTACAAACTCCCACTGCGCATCCAACTATTCCTGCTGGCACAGACGTGTCCGACAGTGTAACTTGTAATCAACAGAGCATGAAAATGGGTCTCGTCAATTTTGAAGAGCTAACGAATCGTTAATTCTCTCGAAATTCCTTCTCAGATATTCAATGAAAATATGTTCAGGGAATGTAAGTTTTTGATGTTTTCACGGTTATGACTATGAAGAAAGTCGTCTTCTGGGATCTGGAGCCGTGTATTCTTGGTTTTAACCGACGTTTCGGAGGAACGTATCGCCTCCATCTTCAGGGCAGTTGAATTGCGTTGCGAATACAGAGAGGAGTAGCTGCAATTGCACATATACACGGTGCCAAATCCCAGAAGACTGCTTTCTTCATAGTCACCGCCGTGAAAGTCTCAAATCTTACATAATCTTTATAATGTTTCCATGATGCTGTTCTAATGATGGCAAACATCACTTTCATGGACAGAAAACTGCCAAATTGTATTTTGTTTTCCTACAACGTTTGTATATTATTCACTACACACGTTAACTGCTTCATACCGTGCAACGCAAATCAAAATCAATAATTAGTATAATTCAAATTAACACATTATTCATGACTAAATACAAATTCTGGCAACATTAGCTTTCACGTATATATCTATTTTGGTACCTGCCGCTTGCAGGCACCTCAAAAAATTAATGATGTTATTACATCACGTAAGTAGAACATAATTTTCAAGCCTACCGAACTTCCCTAAGGCAAACCAGAGAAAGTAACAACAATTTTGAGGTATGTTATCTAACATGGAAAAGATAAAGCACAAATTTTTCCTTAAAAAGACGGAAACTTGGATAATGTATATTTACCGAGTTAATTATTTGCAGGTTTAAATTATATTAGTTATTTCATCCTACTAGGCATTCACCGGCGTTTACAAACATTCTGTTTGCCTGCACGACTACCCTGCAAGCCTCATTCTTTCCCATTACTAGCACATGGCTCAGTCAGCCACCTATTGGCATTTTGCTGTACGAATTATCGAATTTACCCTTTCGATATGAACCACTGTACAAGAGTATTATTATTAAGGCTGTATCATATGAAAATTAAATATTACTTAGTTTATTTGTAACTTTAATTCTTCCAATAGATATGGTCATAACATGTTGATCGTAGATCTTGGTGCCACTACTTGAAGGTTATGTAACTAAGTACAAGTGGTATTCGGTAGCTCAGTGGGTACAGAAACTAGTTCTCAACTTTTATCAATATCTGAGCACTCATATCAAAATATGGCAGTGTCTGTCCCTCTTCAGCTAGCCCTCGGTTATGTGGGGCGCCTGTTATGATCAGCCATTCCGGTTGGCCGTCCACTGTAACCCATAAATCAATTCGGGAACCATTGGACAAGCGTACATGTAATTTTGTATTGGTTATTTATAAGACATATTGGCGAACAATTTAAATTAATTTTACATTTGGATCGGACATATTTTTACCGACGATTTCACATTAAGGAGTGCGAGCTTTTCCCCACGCCTACGAAATTAATCTGTGAGCTACATGTACTGGACCCCAACTTGCATTTCCATGACTATCCAAATTCTCTTGCAACTGCAATACATTTTCCATACTGAATGCAATTATTTTGTTATCCATGCTTTACCTATATCCTCAATAGCCACAACCCTTTACTTTGAGAGAGATGGAAGTCAAACTGTTGTAAATGCTTCAAGCCAGGCATCCAGTTCTATATTAAATAGTATTAACAACAGTCTTATTGCTGCTGATTCTGCTATTACTAGGAGAGAGGTTTATTCTTTAAAGGTACAACAACTACCATATTATGATATTTAGAAAGAATATCATAATGAACTTAATCCTCCAATCTACCCTAAAATATTATTCTCTTTGGTAAAAAATACCTTGATTCATGTTCGCTCCAAGGAAACCTGCCAGCATTTCATTAATGTTGGCACCTATGGAATCTTTAGTGAACAAAAAACTATTATTCTTTACTTCTTTGTTCTCTTCCTTTCACCTGCAGTCCTGCCACCAAAATCATCAAGAGGGATTTCAAAATATTAACATTCATTTCAGGTCATAAAGTTATTATTATTAATGTTGTAACCTTATACATGACATGTCTTGTACATCCATTTGATTAATGTAACAACAGCACATAGATATAGCAATATATGGTATTAACTCCGTCTTAAGTGTAACAATTTATTGTAGTTCTTTCGTTTTCCTTTCTTCTGCACTACAGGGAGCCTACACAGAATATCTCAACAGTTCTGAAAACAAGAAGTAGCCGCTGCAGCGGGTAACCCTGAGAATTTTAAATTTTAAATTTCGAAAAAATTTTATAGAAATTTTTAAAATTGGAATTGAAGATTTTAAAAGTGCAGGTTTATGAAAATCAAATTGACGTGTGTAGGATAACAGAGATTTTGTACATATCTGACTGATATCAGCGGGGAAGATTCTGATATATCGAAACCTGTCAGCAACGCCGAAATGAACAATTGAGAAGACTAGTGATTTTTAAATTTTAAACTACATGCAGTGCAGCAGCTACGTGAGAGTATACACCTGTTGATGGCCATTTGCGGCCGAAACGTATAGTGTAGAAGAAAGGAAGACGAAAGAACTACATTAAATTGTTACACTTAAGACGGAGTTTATGTCATATATTGTGTAGAGTGTAACAGGATGCTTAAATATAATATAGATATAGCAAATTAACAAAATTAGGAATGATGTTAGTTTTGTAGACTAGAAAAAAATAAAATTAATTTGCAGAATATACAAATTGCATAAGTCTAAGCCAAGCATGCAGAACTGCATGGTAGTAGTAAATTAATTTTTATTTCCAGTATAAATATAAATATAATACACATACAGATGTCTCAGATAACACAGTATAATAGCTAAGTAGAGGTATTCCATGCTACAGGTATATCAGTTCATAAAAATGTGATCTAATTTTAATCCAATCAACTAATTAGACAAGACTAAATTAACAGCATCCACTGTAATGCAAATTGTTTGCTGCCCAATTGAGAGTTGGGGAGAGAGAGAGAGAGCATAGGACTGCACGGAAAGTGGTGAAGGAATGCAGAGGGAAAGGTTGAATTTGGTGCGGCCACACAATCTTTCTGAACCTCTACTATTACATGAGAAATCAGACAGTATGAGCAACGAAACATATAAGGATCACTGATGTACTGCACTGCACAGGACAATCAGTTTAAGTATGGACAAGAATACTGAGAATTTCTGCAGCAGACTTCAGAGTTTCTCATTGATTCTTATGGGAAAAGTGTGTTCAATTTATGCAATTACACCCTCTGCAAATTTCTTCTGGAACACAACTCTTATGTAAATTTAGGAGTACCTGTAATTATATCAAAAAATATCGCCGTTATTAGCAGCACTGTTCATTGTTTCTACAATTGTTAAGAAGTAAATATTTTGAGAGTTTACTGTGAGTTTAACATTTTTTATTATGTTATCATTTATGTTTACTGACAGCATCTCTTGTTTTGTAGTGCATTTAATCCCCCCCCTTTTTTAGAAATCTTCAGGATTGCTTTTATTTATCTTTTATTCTAATACCTGTTTATTGTATGTCATTGTGAACCGATTGTTGAAAGCCAAAATAGTGGAAGAAGAGGTTGTCGTTGCAAGGCAACGGCACAGTAAACATGTTTCTGCAGCAACAAATTAATACACAACAAAGGAATGGTTAGAAGTGGTGTTTTCTCTGTGGTATGTGCTGAGGCCATATAGCAAGGGCCAACGGGAACTCCTTTGTCGAAGAGGAGTTCCCATTTCCATAGACGTGCACGTCTAGGAGAGAATAAAAATATTGGTCATAGCTTTCGAGGAGACTGAAGACAGGAATATCTGTAATGGTGAAGTCCAGGAGTAATTTAACCAACTGAGACCTACAACTGACCGAAGCTTGTCAGTTGGAGGTCTCAGTTATGAACTGTAAGTTAACAGTCAAAATTCACAGTTGGTCATGAAGAATCTCCTTTGTAACAGCTGCTTCCTACCAGTGACTAGCTATCCTGTAAAATCTTTGGTGCTTTCTTGGTGATATGGATGTAAGGAATAATGCCCTTTGCTCCACAATGAAGAGTTTCCACTGCAAACAAGAAACTGAAACTATAAGAAACATAACACATAGAATCAAGTAAATACATAGGTATAAAATTACTGACAGCTGTTATGAAACAGAAAAGCAAAATAAGGACGGGGAGAACTGTCATTATGAAATTTCAAAATTATTTTCAACTGCTGTGAAAGTTTTGAAATGTATGTTCATAGTACAGCGCTGACAGTTGTGACTACAGCGACTAGCAACATGAATTAATCCAAATCTACTAATAGTCACAACGTTTATCCAAGTGAGGCAGGCCAGGCATCTCAATCATATTCCCCCTTGGAGGTCTCTTCAAGGCTAGTAACACACGGATTCTCTATGTTCTCCAAACATGCCTGCTTCCCAGATCTCCTTTGTCAGTCTCTTTGCATGCCATATGTAACTTTCCCACATTGTTGAAGTGACCTTAAAGTCAGGTTTGTACCACTGTGCCCACACTCTTCAATAATATTAGAAAATATTAGCAAAAGAAGTAATTTCATGTAGTCAACACACAAAAACAAAGTACACAAACCTCTTCAAATATTTTTTCTCACGCCTTTGTTCCAAATCCATTTTTACCAGTGTTTCTGCTGTAATATATCTCAGTCTGGGACCAAAATTGTTCAGTGGAGCCGATACAGCAATTTTATAGCGGTATGTGTCAAACTCTGTCAGTGTTCATTAATTTTAAACCTGGAAAAGAATTTCATGTAATATATGTTGAGGATTGGTTAACCTTAAGTTCAATGAAATAACAAAATGAAATTACACACACTTCAGACATGTACTTACATAGCTAGGAACTTATGTTTAGAGAGAATTCCTTCAGTAGGGCTTGAACTGTAGATTCACTACTTTTCGAACTATTATGTTCCACTATTGCTGTTTGCAGTAAAACTGGAAGATTATTTTTAACTTTCAAAATTCTCTTCTTGGAACAAAGAATTAATACATCAGATCACCTTCACAAATTCGTAATTTCTTGCAGGATATCTCTCAGATATGATCAGTTTCTCCACACATCACGAAGAAATGTGAACCATGGTCAGCAAAAAGTATTCAAATCCCGAACATTTTCGACAGTTTTCTAAAATTCCCTTATTCGAAATAAAACAATTTTTGAAATTTATTAACACATGAGCATTATTAAATTCTCCCAAAGTTAACATCCCCCCCCCCTTAAATAACTATGACACATCACTGGGACCCCTCCACAACTTTCCTTCCTACGTCTCCTATACATCACGTAGGTTGGGTTAGTGCCATTCATGTTCAGAAATGTTCCCTACTGGACACATTTACACATTGTTTCACACGGTGCTCACATTTCTTTACACATGAACAAGAGTCCTGCGTGCTGCATGCATTGCCACTTTCTTCCTTTCGGTTGATTCCCTAATACAGCTGCATCAATACCACACATACTAAAATATGTCACTATAGTAGACATAGTACTAACTAACACAATAACGTTGTGTGGGGAAATAGCGAATTCCCTGCAAATCACAGATATATTCCGTATTCAGATTTAACTATTATATACACGTTGCTATTGCACGGAATAAAACGCACACTGCATTGATTAAAGTAGGCAATTCAGCGAAAGTAAT